AATCCTGAAAACATAGACACAGCATGCATGTCAAATTGTTTAAGGTCACATGACTTTGATGTACTTGTTAAAAACTCAAACAGGAAAGACCCTATAGGTTCCTTTTAACACTAAAGAAAACTCATTATGATAGAATATGCAGACTTCCATGGCTGATCTCTCATTTTGGATGTCATGCTGATCCAGTGATTTTAATAGTCTTGAGGCAGTGGCTAGTGTTAGGAAATGTTTTAACTCAAATTATTTACAGAAGGAATGGGCATTTTCAAAAATTAAAGGTGTAATAATGCATAGCTTTAGAAGTCTAAACTCTTTACTCTATTTAAAATTGTGATACAAAACTATTAAAGAATATGGATATAGCCATACAGTGTCCCAGAACAAGTATGATGATCAGTTCTGAATTTGTCTTGCTCCACCTTTGGCTCCAAGCCAGTGATTCAAAGTATGCCACACAGCAAGCATTATTAGAAGGCCAGCAATGGCAGACATTTCGTAGGACAGCATTTAATCACACCCATTTATTTAGCATTTTGTTCCCTAAACTCTCTTAAATGAGAACATTGGAAGACAATAAAAGAAACAAATGACAAGGCAGAGGCATATTTTAAATATATATTCTGTGTATTCAAAACCAGTTTTATTGCAACCATATTTGTATAATGTGTGCTTGTGTGTATACATATCTATGTATATATATTACACACTGTATACAGTTCATTTGTACATAGTGGAATAAAATTTTATTCTGTAACTGATTGGAGCGACAATACAATCTGCAGCAGTTCACTGAGATGCAAGAAACATTGAAAGGCCTCTTCGCATGCATCTCCTGCTGGTACAGTAGTACAACAGTAAGTGCAAAGGATTCAGAGAGTATATACAAGTTTCACTTTTGTGCAAGAGAGTTTACAGTGGTAGTGCTACTGATGTTTCAGATATACACAACGTATTCCTTCCCTCTTCTCATTACCGGTCGTGCCTCCACATTGCATGCTCCCTCAGGAGGTAATGAAGAACAAGATCTTCACTTCTGCCAGGTTGTGAACACCTGGGCTAACAATAATTTGGTTTTGGCTCACAAACACTTTTCTCATCATTTTATAAAAGGTAATTACAACATTGTGTTTATTGAATGTTTTAAGACGCTAAAATTTACACTAATATACAATCTATTTCAGGTTTCACTCACCTGTAGTCAAAAAAAATAAATGTGCACCCCATGAATTTATGTTCTACAGTGTTTTGCCATCCTGTCAGAGAAAGGATTAGAGGTACTATAAGCAATGGCTGGTCTAATGATTTTAAAGCATGCTTGTTAACTAGAACATATGGAAGCAGCTCTATTAAAGAGACCATAAAATAAGCGTGCTTTATTCCACAGTATGGTCACTGGTTCCTACCAAACTGAATGGTTTGGAAGCCTCCATCCAAATGGACTTTTTTCGGCTTGGAGGCAGATCCGATGTAAATTTCCATCTCAAAGTTTCTGAGCCATTTCCTCCCCTTAATACGCAAGCTATTAGCCTCACTGACATTTATTAGGAATCCTCAGACACCCAAGCAGTCCATGCCACAAATGGAGGAGATATAAACATTATGAAGGCTCCAGGATGATAAGAGCAAGCAAACAGACTGAAACCTGCCCTGAGAAACAATGAAGCCTATCATTGCTGATCACTCCTCATGAAATGCTATATACCCTGCTGTCATGCACACATTCTAGCTTTATTACATTATAGTGGAACTCCAGGATTTTGAAAAGTTAACCCTTGCATTGGGGCTACCCCACACTGCAAGGGTTAACTGCTCTTTTGGCCTAGGGGTGAAATAAAGAAGAAACACTTATTCTCGGTACCTCCTGTCTGCTAAACCTGTCCCTGCAGCCTCTTCTCCCCCCGGGCTCCGACGGTCCAAGGACCCATGACGTCATCACGTCTAATACAGGTCTATTAGACGCCGGGAGACATACCACAGCCGGAGGGGAGGTGAGCGGTTACTGCGGGACCAAGGATCATGTGAGTATTTCTTCTTTATTTTCACCCCTAGAGAAAAACAAGCAGTTCACCTTTGTAGTGTGGAGGAGGGCCCACTGTAAGTGGTTAACTGTTCAAAATCCTGGAGTTCTTCTTCAAGTCAATGCCATAGGCAGGACAATCATGACAGGCTTACTTCAATGTGAAACCAGTCCTTAAAGGAAAGCATCACCTTTAGTAAAGTTGTTTTTTTAAGTAACCCTTCCCCAAATGCAGCCCACCTGGTAAAATATTTACTTTCTGTCCCAGTCGGCTCCTCTTCCTATTGCACATGTAGAGTGGAACCATTCATCCCTATAGGGCCACGGCACGTGTTAGAGGGAGGAGCTGGCCAGGATAGTTCCTTGCAATAACTGCACCGTTGGGCAGGGCAGCACAGGGAAGATCACTGGAATGGGGAGGAAGGTAGGTATTTTACCAGATGGGCTGCAATTAGGGGGGTGAAGGGGTTAATGGACTTCACTAAATGTAAGGTTGTTATTTAATGCTTACACAGCAGTGTCTACAAAGTTTGACCTTGAAGTACTTACACACATCTTACCTTTATTTCCTTATGAAAGAGCTCCTAAGTTTCTGGGGACCCAGGAACGCTGCATGTAAATCTCAAACTATAACAAAACTCATGACACACCCCCTCAAAGGGGTGGAAAGGTTTACACACTGCATTGCGGGATGTGGGGAGGGGGTGACAAATCTATACTTAGACTGCAAGTCAGAATTTACATGCAGCCAAGCCAAGAAAATGCCTCTCTATATAGCCTTTATTTATACAGTTGATGTTTGCAAATTAAATATTCTTTAACCCATACTGCAATGTGATTTTAAAAGGTCTATTTAACCATTTCTCTAGCAAAAAATGTAACACTGTAGATGTATACAATACATAATGTATTCCACATCCCCACACAAGAAACAGGCTTTCTGTACAACATCATTTGTAGGAACCCCGTTATGAATTAGACAGACTGGTCCGCAAAGGCATTTTGTGCTGAACAATGTAACTCTCCAATGGACTGATCAACTGGTCCATAAAACAAGGCATCACTATATGGATAGTTTATCTTGAGACTGCGAGCATAAAATGAAGCCATTTATAAAATATTTATGCCCTGCAACACAACTGAAGCAATGTCAACGACATTTAGTGTACTGCAGGTGTTTCATTTTCAATACATGTAGAATAGAATGTACAATTATTGCTGTTTCCCACATTTCATTATATGGCACAGATCTCATTAAATGACCCAGTAGTTTCCAATATTTGTCTAACATGATTTGCTAGAATAATAAATGCAGTTCATTTCATAAACTTAACCAGCTAGTATTAAAGGGCCAGAAAAATCTAAAGCACAGGTTGGCTTATTTACAAACCATTTATGAAAATAAAAGTTAGAAAACGCCAAACTTTAAAGAATAGAATATATCAGTGATGAAGTAAACATATTTTTGCACAGATCCACTGAACTGCATTCTAATTGGCTTTCCCCAGCCTGACCTGACTGAACCGATAACCACATTTTACTCCTAGCTAATACAGGAACACTTTGGTTTTTTATTTATTTAGGACCTTTGTCAAAGAGCAAAAATGATTGCTACTTTTTAAAAATGTCTTGATTACTACTAAACTGCGTGAACCAATGTTAGGGACAGTATAGGCAAAGACAAAGATCACTTTTGACATGAAGCTTGAAGTGGTTCCCCTCAAAATGGGTACATTAATTTAAACGTATCCAAAGCATACTGCATATAATGGAGTGTCTTCAGCTCAACTTGCAGGAAACAATGAGGGCTGTGTAAGGTTCAGATCAATTCAGAAAAGTCCTGTATCACACATGCCTGCAGACCTAAATACATATCTATGGGCTAGGATCTTCCTAGCAACAGCTCCTTCTTAAAATGTCTTAATTCATTGGGTCCAAGCCTCATGCAGCTCTCCCTGCAAGTGCTGCAATACTTAATAGATTCGAGATGTAGTTTTAACCCTATCTTTTTATTCAAAACAATTCTTCTGTACAATATAGTCAACAGATGACTTACAAATTTACTATGATAACAGCACAGTTCACATTTTTGCTTGGGGCAGATATCTCCAATGCTGGCCTCATCTCTGAGTTACCCTAGAGATCATCCAAGGATACATTATCCCAGAGGTCACCAGGCAAGTATACATACTTACATAGGTCGGAGATGACCTACTGACAGACATTCTATCACTCCCTATTCTAACTCTTTTCACCAATATTGGACAAATATCTAAAGTCTATGAGAATATTAAGCCAACTTGTGTTTACATTTTTCAGACCTTTAAATTCCGAAGAGTATCTTTTCTGTATGCCCCGCAATGTTCTGATCCATGCTGCACAGTAAACACAGACTTGTACATAATGGAGGGAATCCTAAGAACACAGGATGAGGGCTGGGTTTCTAAGATGTACATAGATCATGGGAAAAATAATGTTGCTATGTGAGAACAGACAGACAAGAGGTATACAGAGCACAAGGAACAAAACAACTGATACAGATTTAGGACAATTTAGTGTGTTACAACAAGTTAGCAAGAACAATGGTAAATGTAATATCAGAGAGTAATTGTGAAACAATGGCTAATGAGAACAATAAAAAATTAATATATATCCGTGTGTGTACAAGAATCAACAGCAAAAAGAGTTAAAATATTCTCTAATAAAACAGTATCGTGCAGAACCCAAAATAAAAGCGCAGAAAACTTAAAATTCAATGTGTTCATTCTGACATTCGCTCTCCTATCAACAATTTTAAAAAGTATTTTTTACAAAAAGTGGTCAAGCTTTTGTTATTATTGGCAGTAAACATTTTGTTCTCTTTCTCTCTCTCTCTCTATATATATATATTTATACTCTGGATCGAATAAATCATCTGGATAGTGAATTACAATATTCTATGTGACAAAAGATAAACTCTTGTGAAACTGAAATTTTTCTTTTCCATAAACAAATATAAAAGTCAGTCTTTATTTCCCACACTCGTTCTATACTGGGCTATCCATACACATCAGGTTTTTCACATTCGTTCCACAGACAGGCGCTAGTGGCCACTGTCCTGAATCCCTCTGTGTCAAAAGGTCATCAGGAGGCATGACCTTTGGCTTTTTGTACAGCTCTGTTTCAAGTAGATATCCTTTTTAAGTTTTAAAGTGACTTTTCTCTTCTCTACAATAAAATACATGTATTTTTGTATCTGTGTAAGTACTAAGCAGCTTTATTTTCTCTGCAAAAATGGGAAGGCACAGAACACGTCGCAGCTGAGATGAAGCAAGACAGTAGAAGGGTGTGCATCTGTACGGCTGGCTGGATTAAGGCTTATTTAAACTGCTGTGTTCACTCTGGTTGAGTGTTGGTCTAGGGAGAAGAAAAAGAAAAACAGTTAGTGTATTTCTATAAATCAATTTAAATTAATGAACCATTGTAGAGGCATCTACATATCATCCTTAAAGTAAATCACTGGGTTGAAAAAAAAAAAAAAAAAAAAAGAACTACTTGCAATTAAAGAGGGTTTATACCCACCTATCCCTGCACCCATTCCTTCAGTCTTTGCTCTCTTGCACAGTAAAGGCCATTTTTTTACATCAGACAAATGTCTGGGAGTGTTGGATGCCCGGTGCCCCACTGCGCTGTTCTGTTCCTTCCTCCAGCTCCCCCAAATTACTACAGGACACAATAGTGACAAAGGGCTCAGCAGAAGTAACCATAGCAAGTGTCAGGGTATGCAGGTATGCAATGCTCCTAGAAGTGTTGAAAGTGAAGATTGTTCCAGGGACCACAGCTCATATACAGAGCAAAGATTGGGAGGCAGGACAGGGGACAATGAACCCTTTTTTTTGCAGGTTCTCCTTTTTAACGAGCAACAGAGTTACTTTAGATGAAACCAGCAAGCAAAACTCCTATTTAGTATTAACTGTTAATTTGTGAAAGAAATTAAAAATGTTTTGCTCAGTAGTAGGAAGTTAAAACCTATCCCCAGCCAAAATATTTTTGTTGCCGTTTTTTAGTTTTGAACAAAGGAGTTGGAATATATGTCAGATTTTTATAGTTGTTTGTGTTCCCATTGAGATTTCTCAATTTCTGTCCTGGTGACAAGGTTATCACATGACCAGAAAGTGATGGGATAGCTCTGATATACCGACAAAGATAGGGACAAAGAAACATGTATTTAGTAGAATTTAGAAGGGGTAAGGTTTTTTTACGCTCTATTTCTTCCTGTCCTAGTAACACTTGAACCCTCTCATTTCTTGCCCCGACATCACTAAGACAGGGAGGGTGAGCAAATCCTCACACAGTCAGTAAAAACCAATTTACAGAAATTCTGACTTTTACCAACTATCAAAAACCAACAAAAAAAAAGAAAAATGTTGTCTGGAGTTGACATGTACGCCAGCCTGAAAGTTCTGAATTTAATCCAGCAATGACCCCTACCACATCAACAGTTACAGGGATTTGACCCTGGGCTGCTATGAACCGATGGTGTGCTGCAATATTACAACTTTCCAAATCAACAAGAAACACACATACCTCTTGGGCAACAGAGGTAAATGGTCACTGCAGAGTTGATGCAGGCAACTTTTGCAAACGTAATTTATTTTAATAAGGGAGGCAGACAAAGCTTAATCATGGCTTAATTAAGCAAGTCAGCTCAATGCAGCTCTTGTGCACTCATTGCCAATGAAAGCTTGGAGCGTTATAGGTGTGTGCACCCTCAGCCACTATTCCATTCAAACTGGTCTTGAAAGTCTGAATTTAATTGGTGGTTGTGGGGAAATAGTATCAGATCTTAATATAAACACTCAGACGTCAGGCCCTCTGTGGCCTATATAACACCTGTACATAGATGTGTATAAAGCGTTTACTGCCTTTAAAAGAGCAGCAGCAAAAGCTGATACTCAGCTAAATGATCATGTACACTCATTATAAACCAATATACCTGTTAACTGTGGTTTTCATATTGGCTCTGTCTCTTCTTTGATTTCAGCTCTTTTAACCACTGGGGAGATTCTCCTGCAGATCTGAAACAAAGAAGCAAAACAAACTGCTAAAAGAAAATGCTAAAAATAGAAATACATACAGCCCACATTAAACACAAAACCCAATAATAAACTTTCAAAGGAATATATCCACAAAATCTTATCAAGAAGGAAATCAAGACATCGAAAACACTTTGCATGTAGTTGAGCCTACAACATGCACCAGGAAAATGGGTTGATGTTTTGTGAAATGCATGCGATTTAGGCACATTCATGAAATGTGGTCTGCCATTTCAGGTGTGCAGACAAGTATTTCTCTAGTCTAGCACTGCTGTGAGGGAGCTGTGCAGACGTACACATACATTAAGTGGTCTACAAAACTTTACTCATATCTCTATTATTGTTATTATGTCATTGCTCAGAGAGCCATTTTCATATATAAAGGTTCATGCAGCCCTGTCCCTATACTACATTTTTAAAATCCAGCAATACCCATTAAACAGGAGTGTACACACTCACCTTTCCTGCTGTGTTTGGGGCAGAATGCCACTCCAACCCTGAGAAACATTCATGTAAAGTACACAGGGAAACTAACATTTCAAGTGTTGATCTGGGTCCCCTGCAGCTCTCACTGGTTCCTCCTGCTAACCTCCACTCATTACAGGATATAGTAGTCCACAGAGGTGAACAGGAGGGCTGATGACACTTACTGAGATGTCAGTGCAGCAGAGGCAAAGAGCAAAGGATCTAATAAGTTCAAGTTGATTTTTGGCAGGTATTTTTTTGTATTGATCAAACAGGTATAAATAGTATATTTACCATTCCAAAAGGCAGAAAATAAGACAAGTTCACTAGTTTATGGTTTACATACACTTTAAAGCATATTTAAATCCATCTTACCAAGTCTTAAATGTGGTAATTACAATGGTTTTCTTTTTTTAGGCTTTTTATTCCTTTATTATTCACCGGGTGATTCAGCCAGTAACACACTTCCTCTCTTAGGGAAGTCAAGGGGCTGTCAGAGCCACCCTTGAACAGTAGCACTGTCATGCTACGGTTAGGGTAAGTACACTAGAAAATTTAGATGGACTTAAATTAAATCCAAACTTCAGCTAACATGTTTTAAGAAGTTACAGTAACAGTTTCATTTTTTTCTTCTGAAACAATGATTTTACATAAATAAATAAAATCTGACCAATGAAAGCACCGGTTTGCCTCAACCCTCTGTGTGCCACTTTTGCTGGACAGCTTGGTCTGTTAATGGAAGCTGAACAATAACAGACTTACTGGCTACATTGCCTGGTATAAATAAAGGAATATAAAACCTAAAAAAAGTAACAGCAACCACATTTAAAAATCTGTAAGCTGTAATATATCACATTTTTGCTTGGGTTTTCGATACACTTACAGGTGTGTATAAAGAGAAAAGGAATAGTTATAGGACAGGGGTGCTGGGGAAGAAAGGAAATGGAGATGTGCTTTAAGTGTAACACATATATGATCCATATACCATAACGTCAGCACAATACAATTAGAGGTAATCTGGGTACAGACTGTGACTGTACTAAACCAGACTATTAGTCAACTAACTTTTCTTGCTTGTCTGCGGAGGTTGGCAGAAGTTTGACGCCCAGTGTTCCATGTGGTAGAGGTGATTTTGGCGACTTTGAAACTTGGGGTGAAGATTCGGTACTGCTTTCAGCATCTTGCCTTTTCCGAAGCTGTGCCTATGGAAAAAAAAGCAATTAATATACAAGGCAAAACACACACATTGGGGAAAACAGATTTAAGTTCATAATGTAAGCATTGCCAAATGAATTGTTTCAGCTTTACTACACTAGTCATGTTTACGATAAAATGTAAGAATTTATTCAGCATTTGACACTACCAGTCTCCTGCTAGGTCATCATCAGTAGTATAGTCCACTTCTTGTGAAAGCCTCAAGACAGCCAATCTAAAAACATTTTTGTTTTAAAAAGCAGTCTATATTCTTACTTTGGTAATACTAACAATTTAATGGGTTCCTTTGCTTAAAAAGCAGTGAACAGTGCTTCACAAACACAATGATAGTAAAAGATGTGAGGGCCATCATCCAGTAGCTGATGACATCTAACTATTCCGATATGACACCCACAAAGAATCATTATTTTAGTGGCTTGGCCACAGTACCAACTCTTACCTACAGGTGGCATTGTAAGATAGAGAGGCTGCAGGCGTAAGAAGCACACACCAAAATATAATGCAACCAATTCTAATCCATATGTTCTTGCTCAATTCTTATATAGGACATACTTATCTATTCTATTTATAATAGAGATGACCAAGGTCACACTAATCAGTCACAGGAACTCATTGTTTACCATCAGAGTTGAATGGTCCATTCCAGGGAACATTGGCATTCGGGGTGAATGAACAGAGGACCTCTGGGGTTTTTCCTCCTCTTCTTCAACCTCTTCCTTTTTTTCTGGCTTCTCTTCTAAAATACAAGAGAAAATGTATACCATACCACTAATGTAAATGAGAATGTATATCATAGTCAGTAGTCCTACTAAACACTTCAACAGGCCAATAATGTTACATTGGTATCAATTTAAGCGGTCACAAAAGTATATTGTTGACCGAAAAAAAAATTGTAATGAAATGAAACGATGCCACATTATTGAGGAACCTTTCTTACCAGGCTTCCTCCAGGTTGCTAGAGGTTCCTTGAGCATTAAATAATTTCTGCTGCTCAGATTATCTTACAGTAACACCAATTATCTTTTCAGGTATCTGTAACGGTGGCATTCTTCCCACTTACCACCCGTGTATGGCGCATTCTTCCCATCTGGCACCAGTGTACTAGGGCCCTTCACTAAGACCATCAATATGAGGGAGCACTACAATACTTATTGTCTGTCCATCATTATTACTTGTTTCATTTCATTATTACTACTAAAACTAATATAGTAGTAAGGAGCAGCCCTGGAAGTCTAATAATCTAAAGACAACACTTTAACAATAGTTATTAGCAGGGGTTTCCCGAGCACGGAAACTTATTTGAAGGGTCCCCCTGGGTTAAAAAGTCAGAGAAAAGTTGCATATAAATTTTTATATACATTAGTATCTTGAGGCGGTGTATACCATATCTCAATTTACCTTTATCTGTATACGTATAACAGCGCTAATAGAGTACTAAGCTCTTTTTCTAAGTACCACTTTAGGTAGTAGTGCAGTCTATATTGTTCATACAAATACTGTTGAACTATATACAAATTCACTACCTGTAGAATCAGTGTACATCCAAAGGTTGTCAGTGTCCTCAATCACAGCTAGCTGGCTGCTTGATTGCAACAACCGACTTCTGCGCTGTAACTGGGTTGGCGCACGTCGCTGGCTCTTCCGACTTAACTGGACTCTGTTCTTCAGGGCTGTTGAATCTAAGACTGAGGTTTGCTGTGGAAGACACAACAGGGTTTCCTTTTTCATTTAGCTGCAATGAATTAAACTACATGTAGCAAAAACAACTGGCTGAGGAGAACATCACAAACCGGACCTTTAGGCCTTGTTCACACCAAATGCAGAGCAGATCCGCTAGGTTTCTGCACACGCAGTGCAGTGGGTTGTGTCGCGTTTTTGATGCGTTTCGGGCCATTTTTGTTAAAAAAAAAATGGTTTTTGTTTGTTTAACATGGGCTTTCCGTGCGTTCCAGGCATTTCCTGGAACTGCACGTTGCGATGTGAACTTGAGCAAAAAATACCATTGGTATACATTGGACGCAGTTTTGATCCGGTCTGCAACTGCTCCGCGCTTGGTGTGAACAAGGCCTTAGACTGGGTTACATTTTCATCTCTGATTTTTAATGTGGGAGCTTGCAGTGTGGTGGTTTTATATGCTTTAAACAACAAGCGGGATCTTTTCTTTCAATGCATAACACTGAAATGCATATATGTGAATATAGCCTTATTTTTCCCATCCTATAATGAACCAAACAGGCACCAATTGTATAAATCGTTCTAATTCTTTGGTAGCACTGGAGATCAAGCACAACTCCAGCAAAATAGTTTTACTTTATTATGGATAGAGTCTCTTTCAAGCTTTTATGTCTGTCCGTCTCTCTATTGGGCAGATCACCCTTAAATCCTGTTAGGACATCTCTCCAATGGTGGCACAGACAAAAAACAAACTTTTTTGGTCTACAGTAAAATTTTAAAATACTGGAAACAGAATATAGCAGAGAAAATACATCTGAAAAGTCAGGGCCCATTGACTGTCATAAAGAAATGTCTATAGCAGAATGGATATAAAACTTTGTTCCCTGTGCACAAAGTCGTTTTCAATGTTTGATGCACTGAGCTACCCCAAGCAAATCAACCAGAAATCAAACATTACTTTTTGGCTTCCTTTCCATGTCCTCCTTGTATGTTGGGCTGAGACACACATTCATGTATACTAAAGTCCAAACAAGATGGCTTCACAGAATTTGCATATCAGAGATTGACCCAGAAGAGACAGACAAATCTACTGAAATTACTAGAAAAGTAGGGTGTCCAGCTCAGAGCCTCCACTGATAAACCACTGCAAGTGAGCAGCCCCAAAGATGCAAGCTCTCAGCTTTCTTTGGACATATTAGACCATCTTTGGAAAACCCTTTGTCTCCAAAATGTTTCTGAGAGTGATAAAAAAAAAAAAAGGGGCAACAACACATGATGGTAATCTTGGAGTTACATGGATGCTCTGCTCAAACAGCTGATCTGCAGGGGTACAAGCAGCAGTGGAGAAATGCAAACAGTTTTGGGACAAATCAGTAAAATGTATTTTTAAAAAGAGAACATGGGATGTTGTGGTTATCTTTACATTATATAGATGGAGTGTAAACAACATTGAGAATTACTGGGGTTTTAGCTTACATCGATGAATGAGAAGTCAACTGATTTGGCTTCAGAAGGTGTGCTTTCAGTGCCTTCTGTGGAATCCAAATCCATGCTACATCGGTCCAGACTGCCGTCCCGAGCTTCATTGATAGAGTCATGCTGGTCTGTTTCAGTATGGGACAGTGAGGAGAGGCGACTGTGTGAATGCTGCTTACGGCTGCTGTTATCATATGATGGCGAATCAGTAACACAGCTGAAAAACAGAAAGTATTCTGCAGTCAATATACTTTTCACTCAAATGATTAAAAAAAAGTCTAAAACCGGTTACATTTGACATATATAACTTGCAAATCAAAATGTCTAACTTCAAGAAAGTCACAGTAACCACCCATAGATGGTGCCCTACTTCATGCAGTTTCTTTCTGCAGACATTAATAGAAAAAAAAAAACTAATCCCCTGACAAATTGAGTATATGTGTGTGTCTAGGTTAATTTGTCATCATCCTGTCACATGTGTAATACAGAAAGGAGGAGCTTTCTGCAAAATACTACTTATGTAATGAAAAAAGAAAAAATACTAGACATTGAACAGTAGAGGGCATCAGAGTCCTTCAAACACAACTATAATCATAAAGTGACACTAAACTCAGGAGTTAAATCTTAAAAATGCATTCCAGTACCTCAACTATTAACAAAACTGTATCTTATGTGTGTATCACTCAGCTAAAGATCCTCTAAATAATCTCTGAATTGGTGCCGACACTGTCCTTCCTTCTGGAGGGTGGCTACTTTTGTTCCCTATGGTCCCTGTGTGTGTTGTAAAGTAGCCACCCCTCCATGCTCACTCTGTGATAGACTACAATCCCAATACATATGAGTAAACTAAATGTGAGATTGTAGTCCATTACAGGAGTGAACTTGGAGCGGTGGCTACTTTACAACACACACAGGGACCATAGGGAACAAAAGTAGCCACCCTCCAGAAGGAAGGATAGTGTCAGCATGAATTCAGAGAAGATTTGAGGACCTACAGATGAGTGATACACAAATAAGATACAATATTGTTAATAGTTAAGGTACTTGAATGCATTTTTAAGATTGAATTCCTGAGTCTAGTGTTTCTCTAAGGTACTAGTTAAATAGCACAGACCCAGCAGAATAAACAGGACAAATCCAACTTGCAGACTTGTAACATAATTGTAATGACTAAGGAAACCCATACTAAGGAATTAGGTAGCCTTACATTACTAATTCCTTGCTTCTGAAAATTCTAGTTCCCTGGCTGTCATGAGGATCCAATGTCCTCAATACTTTCGGAGCCTTTGAAAAAGAATAAACAAGCAGAGCAAGAAATCTGCCGATCACAGGCTTTCTATGACAGAAGGGACTGTGTAAGTCTCTTCTGCCCTAAAAATTTAATTTTTCTATACCACGCATGCATGGCTTAGTGCACAGACCCGGCATGCCGAGATGAAGTGACTCCCGTGCACATGAGCAGCAGTTACTGGCATGGCCAATCAATCCCGGAAGAAAACAATGGAAGCACCTATGAGGGAGGGGTGCAGTGCTTGGCAGGTAAATCTGTCATAAATTGGCAATATACTGTGAACACTAGCACTTTAGAGCGAAAAACTCCAGCCCCCCTTCTTTTTTTTTTTTTTTAAACTACTTCCGCTGCATGCCGTTTTGGGTGAGCGACTCAAGCTAATGAAAAACAGCCAGGCAACTAGCATTTTCAGAAGCGCAGCCAGATTTTTCTCAGTACAGGTTTTTTTTTTTTAATGGACATTTGGAGTGTGTGTATACATACATACATGTATATACATACATGTACAGCTTATATATATATATATATATATATCTATATATATACACATACACACACATACATATACACACACACACCTTGAGACATGCGGACAATGTACTGGGCAAAATCATTCCTAACATAAAACCTACTTTAGTATGGCATAGGAGTGCACAATTAAGCTAAAGCAATGGTTTACAGCTATATGGGAAACATGTCAAACAGCCTTGACATGACATATTACTATACGGATTGCCCAGGTTGGATTTTCCTAGGTTATTATTATAGGCATATTTTATATAGCGCCAACAATTTACGCAGAGCTTTACATACCACACATTCACATCAGTCCCTGCCCTTAAGGAACTTATAATCTAAGCTCCCTATTTTGCATGCATACATAGGAGGGCCAGTTTAGACAGGAGCCAATTAACCTACCAGCATGTCTTTGGAGTGTGGGAGGAAACCGGAGTACTCGGAGAACAGAGAGAACATGCAGATAGTGAGCTGGCTGGCATTCGAACCAGGGACCCCCAATGTTATAAATCAGTTGTTAAGGAACCAGTTTTGCTCCAGGGGAGCCCAGGCCAGTTTCTAAAAAGACCCTTATTGCCTTGTTGTAATATCACCCTAACATAGAGCATTGTGAGTGGCAGAGCTGCATGGAAAAAAGACAAGCTGAGGGTGAAGGGACAACTTCACCGTATGCACACTGCATTTGGACATGTATGACAACATATCAAATGACAAAGCTTGGGATTTATGTGGGAAAGGTATCTATGAGCAGCTCTGCCATCCATGGCTGTGTATTATGGTGACTTCATGGCCTGCAGTAAGGTGTATGCATGTGAGGGGGTATGGGGGACACTGTGCAAAAAGAGGGGCCTTTCCTCTGCCATGAAGAACTGTGAAACCACGGTGCTACCATGTGCCATGTGAATATTACTCTGCTAATGACTGCTAAACTGTGAAAGAAGAATCACTTTCATTTACAGGTTTTATTACTAGCAATTTTCTGCAGTATTTTGCATTTATTCTATAGAACTACAGCAACTCTTGCCTTTACTCAGCTCTAAACTATTGCACAATGTGAAACACGTTATCCTAGACGTTTAGATAGGGTTAAAACCTTAGAACACCATGATAAACACAGAATGACGCCAAGAATGGAAGCAAACCCACAAAAACAAACAATACACATATACCACATCGCTCAAGGGCTTTGTTTTGGGATTAGGTGAAAGTACCTTCGTTCGATTAGCACAAATACCTAGGAGGAGCTGAAATTGTTCACTGACAGTTCTCCAGGGCAAGAAGAGGTAGCCAAGTCTATCAGCATTGCTCAATAACAGTGCTTAGCAATAGCATAACAATTACTGTAAGTAGTTTGGAAGTCATCAGCACAATACACGGCAAAGGTTCTTGAAAAAGTAAAAAGCTCGATTAAAAAAGGAATGCTAAAATGTCTTCAAGTAAAGTTAAAAAGTCCATAGACAATTCTGGCATCTTCATGTACTGACCCCTATGCATGATTATATCTGGATTAGTGGTCTTCATCCTATGTAGAGTACTATATGCAGGGGTTAAATCTATCTAGGGGATATTGAGCTCTTACTAGAAACTTGATTTAATTACAGCAATTACTCTAATGTAAGCCCTAATGTACTAAACAGCATTACACATCAAAATCATTAAGAGGATCATGTTCCAGAACACTTACAATACAGTCGACAACTGGAAATCTCTATTTCTACATCCTCTTTGTTTTTGTTTTTTTAATGTGGATACCAACCAGAACAAACAAATAGGACCATACACATGTAGGGGATGTCAAATCTTTAGACTAACCGAGGTCAAGCCCAAGTCAAGTCTAGTGTCACCATGCAAATCCAGTTTAAATCCAATGGTAAGCTCTGAGCGGGAACACTGGGCAAATGTACACTGGTGTTTGGATTGTGCTACATTTGCCCTAGGACCAGTTAAAGAATATTCAAGCTGAACTGCAGGCATACAGTCAAGTTACACGAATGTGTGACATTAGCCTTAGGGCCAGTTAAAGGTTATTTAAGCTGTAGTCCAGGCAAACAGCTGAATTGCACAGATTAAATACATATATAAGGGCTGTTTTAGTTGCCAAAAGATTTGAATTTGCAAATCTAGTCCTAAGATATAAGCAGCTTTGCAGCACATCGCAGGCTGTCTTGCAGGGGAGGGGATCTGATCTTTCTCTGCTGCGATTGCCTTTTCATTTAGAGGTCTCCACCCCACCCACACTGACTGGAAAGTGAAAGGAGAAGCAGTAGACTAATGATTATCCTTTTAGATTGTGGGCCCTCCTTACCATCTTGTCTTGAATTGTATTGTGATTGTAATGTCTTCCTTATATTGTAAAGAGCTGCGCAAACTGTTGGCGCCATATAAATCCTGTATAATGATTACAGAGCTGCATTATTTGCGTCTTTTATATCTACCTGGAGTTCACCTTTATCAGACTAGAGAATCTTAATTTTGCTAAATGCTTCAGAAACTTAGAAATTATCAGTATCCTTCGACATTTGTCAAACTGCTTGCAATGACCGGGGCAAGTACGAGCATCCTTACTGCACATTCACTTTTGTTCAGGAAAACACAAAACATGTAAGTAAATCTTTAGTCCTTTATTGTGTTTCAGATACATGCATGTAAACTGCTAAATGTATAAACTCTTAACATTGTGTAGAACAGGTTTAATAACCATGATTCTGTTTTTAGTTTGTAAAAATATATGTGCACGAGGGCGCATATTGATTCACGCACAAGCGGGTTGTGCTTTCTATTTTTAAGTGCAGCACGGTGACTGCAGTGCTTCTCTTTTTAATGTACGGCTATTAGTCTGCCCAGAACGGACTATGTAACATACTCTCCAGGTCAATATCCGCTTATTTATAGGTGTGCGATGGTATTGCTGCCACTAAAGCAATGCAAAACCGTCATAAAAATATGGAACAAGTAAAAATAAAATAAAATAAGATAACCTTTGCAGCAATGACTAAGATTGTAAAACCCCGTTAGCAAGAACTCCCCTCCTATTCCTGCCACTGGCTCTCCCACGCAATGCATGATTTGCAGGTTCTATGCACAAATGTTATTTCCATATTTTCAGCAAGGTGCCTGACTACAATTCTGCTACGACTTATCCTATAAACAAGGATGATGAGATAAGCTGTGCTCTTTTAGGAATGGCTCTTCCCCTTTATCTCTGCCCTACTAGGGAAGTAGATATCAGAGGCTGTCCTCCCATATCTGTAAATATTTGGATTTAGTAGCGGGTTAAGTGTACGGAGGCTCACGTCAGCCACTGCTTATTCAATGCTGATTCCCTGCAGTACGAGTGTCATGTGTCTATTTATAGGCATGCAGTCACATCACAATAACAATACTGGTGTGCCATTAACCACTGCGGGCAG